ACTCGGTGTATGAAAGCTTATAAACTTTCATCATCTACTTTATGGACTTTCCTAATTTCTACTACCTTCAGTAGGTGTAAATAGGGACATGTTGGGCCAAATCCTGCAGGTTAATTTGAGAGGAACCATCAAATTACGGTAGTCGTGCGGTTGTCCAAAGCAAATTTTATGGGCTGGAACACAATATTCAGGGTGTTCAAATGTTACAAAAAGTGCGTCCACATTTCAGCTTGTGAACGATCTTCTTTATAACCGACTTCCAAAAAAGGAGGAGGTTCTCAATTTGACTGTATTTTTTTAATGTATGTCACACGACAACTAATTGTGAACGGATTTTGATGATTATTTTTTTGTTGGAGAGAGGGTACCTCAGTATTGATCCCATTTAAATTTGAAGGCAATATTCTACCTCTAAGGGTGGCGAACGAGAGAATGAATCCGGTTCCGCGCACTTTGCGGTAACCGATTTCAAGGAAACTTTGCAAATAGATGTAATTCCACGATATTTAGAGATTGGTTTTTTTTTATAAAAAGTTATGTTATCGTGTCTTCTGAATAATTACAAATTACATAAATAATTTATTTGAAATTTGTGACAAAAAAATTCGGCTAATACTGTTCGTGTATCAACGCAAATTTATATAATAAACCAAAGGCTTTGTTCGCGAATGTTTTGTTTGCTTAGGTTGTTTGTTATCATGAGATTGTTCACTTCAATGTTGAAAAGGTTTTTGTTACAGCTTGTATAGCTTCCTTATCACTCCGCTTCATATTCCTCGCGCGTCCTGGCTGCACCTAAAGAGCTGTGTATACAAAGTATCCAGTGGTTGCAAAGCGGGCATAATTAAATTCCGAGAACGCTTTTGAAGCAAAGCTCTCCACGACGCTTCCATTACCAACAACAATGGTTCGAAAAAATCGTAATATCGGTTATAGATACAATGTAAAGCTATAAACGGATTTTTAAAAATGTATTTTCTGATGTTTTTTAGTTACCTACTCTACAACTACCTACCCTACCATCTTTTTTATTAGCGAATTTTTTTTTTATAATTATATCAAGTGACGGGACGAACAAGTCGTGTGTCTGATGGTAAGCTACACGCCTGTCCATAACAGTCGCAGTGCCACTCAGAGCTTTAAGTCGCAAACATCTGAGGGGCACTGTCACCCTGCGACATAAGCAAACAAGTCCCATGTGCCTGTAATTTCACCAGCACTTACCCTTCAAAACCGGAAAACAGCAATGCTGACATTACTGCTTGGCGGCAGAAATAGGTAAGGTGGTAGTACTTCTCTGGACACACTCTATAAGTATTTATACCAAGAAATGAAAAATAAGTCTACCTGATGACAGAAGGTATTTCGAATACCGAAAATGTATTCGCCGGGCTGCCATCATCTCAAGTAAGGATACTCAACTTCGCCAAGTTAAATGAAGCAACCGCAATCACAGGACCGCCGCAACTATAATTACGCTTGCTCTCCCTGCTCTTCAATCTGGAACATAGCAATTTATACACCTACTATATAACTACGATGCGGTAGACTTTACTTTTAAAAGCAGTATTAATTGTATAGAATTGCTTGTTCCCAAGCAACCTTTCTAACTTTCCAGGTTACTTCGGTGTTTTGATATTGTCGTTCTTCGTGCAATTATTATTTGTTTGAAATCAAAGCAAGTCGATAAAGTTTAATCAACATAAATAAAGATCAGAAGTCATGGTCATAATAATTTAACTCTACGTTCTAAAGGAAGATCAAATAATGAATAAAACCAAAACAAAGCCTTGTGTCAGTGCCGTCCAATGACATTATTTACATTTGTAGACACTACTTCCATTTCAAAACTTCCACACCATTAATCATATCTTAAGGTAGTTTAGTCAAAATTCCCAATCATCAATAATCACGTCTTAAGGCAATTTGAATACTATTTTGACTTATTTGATTGGTAACTAACATGCAGCGTCATTAGAACTCCTTGTGAAAGAGTTCGTCCAGGGAAGTAGTGCCACCTTACCTATTTCTGCGGCCAGGCAGCAATGTCAACATTAATTACAGGCACATAGGACTTGTCAACTTATGTCTCAAGGTGATGGGTGTAGAAGCAGTGCCCCTTAGATCTTTGCGTTTTAAGGCTCTGAGTGGCACTGTAACTGTCATGGACAGGCGTGTAGCTTACCATTAGGCGCACGACTTGTTGAACCCGTCACTTGATATATTAATTCAAAAAACAAATCAAAATTAAAAAGAATCCCGATCACCATCTGCTCGTCGAGACCTATTAATGAGCCCAAACTCAATTGTTCTGATGTGAGTAGTTGAGAAGTTAAGTAATCTGCAGACTGTCCTGTTTGTGGCATCAGATCAAGGTGCCATATTATTGTAATGCTATCCGATTTCCATAGTATACCAAATCGATTGGGCAAGAGAAAGTAAAAAAACATTAAATTTATGACTGAGATTAAATATCTGAATAGATGTTCATCAAACACAGCTTAGAACCATCTGGATTAAATTAACATTCAAATAAAAAAACCGCTTCAAGATCAATCCATCCGGTTGGGACTCAGACAGGCAGACGGATACACTGACGTGGGCTTCAAACTTTGATTTAAACTTACACATTATTTCATTTTTAATTCGGGACTTAATCATGTATAAAATATGTTTTAATTGCCTCGACGTTTCAGACGTATTGCAACATCCGTGGTCTCGAATAGACTGAAGAGGCGGGTGTCAGCATCTTCTAGCTGTACGAGTTTTGCTAACTACCCGCAGTTGATCTATTTGTGCACTAAGGTTGGCACTAGACCGATACACAACACTCACGATATCCGGCGAGTCACGACATCGTGCTCTGCGTGCCCTAAAACCTGTATATTTCAAGTTTTATAGCTAACTAACTAGTGACGCGGTGACTGAGTCCTAGGTCGCAATAGTACAATGTATGCCGTCGATACTATAAGAAGAAAAGATATTATGTTATAATAGAAGTAAGCCACGAAGAGGTAAGTTTGGAAAATGTAGTGTTACTTTTCATAACAATATAGTAATTTCTAAGGTATTATTCATTATAAATCATTACTGCAACCCATATTACTCAAAACTTTGCATTCTTACCTATCTGAATACAATAATTTAATCATTGACATTCCCTTTCATTTCTCTCGGGAGTTGTTTTAGAAAGATCAAAATAAATAAAGAAGCTGAATGGAGCCTGATGCCGATGGTATTTTTATTTCTATATTATCTCTCCATTCGTACAATTGTGGATGAAAAGGTCTGCTTTTTCTCAATTTTTTATTAGTGCATTGTCTTCTTCGGGCCGTTGTTGAAATTGGAATAGAAAATGTTGTTTTGATATAGACATAAGAAATGACAATAAAAGGTTATTGATCGTATGTTGGATGGAACAAACGAAAACTTACTTCATTGCGTTGAAGGTTCTTGCGACAATTTTTTAAAAGATTTTAAAGAACCTTATGAAAGAGTTAATAAATACCTTATGAAAGCAAACGTTTTCAAAACACGTGGAAAGAAGTTACGTTCAAATCTTTTAATTTAAATAAATAAATTAATTAATTAGTAGTAGTAGTAGAGCTCCTTGTGAAAGAGTTCGTTCAGGGAAGTAATAATAAATTATATGACGCTAGCTGGTGTCTGCGACTTCGTCTACGCAGAATGAGTACTTCGATTAGCCTACTGTACTAATTTTCCCATTTTTATTTTTTTACACACACTCAGAGCCCCGCACTAGAAAAACCCTGAATCGCTGGCGCCATGAATACACACATAGACAACCATAAATTACACTCAAATTCACGACAGAAATAAATGTAGGCAATACAAATATTTCTCCCGGCCCGGAGATCAAACCCGGGACCTCTACGTGGCAGTCTAGCATGATAACCATTCAACCACGGAGGCAGTTCTTGCTATTTCATGCCTACGCGTACGCCTAGATTTCATCTATCTCTAAATCAAATTTCGTCAAAATTGGTTCATCGGTTTAGGCGTGGAAACGTAACAGATAGAGTTACATTCACATGTATAATATTAGTTTGGATAAATTGTTTCACCGTTATTTATTTGTACTCATTTGATTTTACTTTTAACAGACCATACTTTTAAAAAAATCTGTCTAATACGGTTTATTTTGCTTAAGTAAAGCGACAAGGACACTGGTTTTATTTCAGAATTAATTTTTTTACAAACTAGATATCCATTTGAAAAATGTATATCTAGTTTAGTTACTTAGTTTTGTATTTTCTATCTTGAAAAATTTTTAAGAATCACACCATAAAGTAATCAGTGCATATCCCTCAATCTTACTATACATTGTTTCCAGTGATTGATTCAACTGTCACTGTTATGCGGAGTCAGCTGTAGTCATTTGATGTAGTATAGACATTGACTTACAAATAAATGGCGACGGGTCTAATACAAAAACCACGAAAAAAATGTCCCAAGTCAACCTATTCGAAATTTAAATTGTAATGTCATCGCAGTATCGCGCTGTCAGTAGAACAAATGAAGACTAAAGCGGAGTGTCGCGCTCTGTATACGATTTTAGCGCCTTACAAGTGCGGACACTTTTTAGCGCGGACCCGACGTCCATATAATTGTAAGTCAATGAGTATAGACTTTTAAAGTAAGGTCAGCGATCTTTTTGACCGACTTAAAAAAAGGAGGAGGTTCTCAATTCGACTGCACGCTTTTTTCTTTTTTTGTATGTATGAATTTGTGAGCAGATTTTGTTGATTCGTTTTTGTTGTTGGAAAGAGGTTAACCTCAGTGGTGGTCCTATTTAAATTTGAAGAAAATATTCCACCTCTAAGGGTGGCAATCTAGGGGCTGAATGACTTTTGAGGGCGGTTTTTTTAGTATTCTGTACTGAGATCATTAGTTGACAGTGCACGAGTCAAAGTATTCCCCATGTCAATTTGAAAACTATACATTAACAAATACCAATAAAATTAACAGTAAATAGCAAAAAGCCTTTATTTACACACAACAAACAAGTATAAAATAACGTATAAATTATGAACACAAAATATCATTTACAAATGTATACATAATCCAGTTTCATTAAACTATTGGAGCGAAAACACGCCTCCGAAATTACGCGCGAATTAAGCTTAATGAACGTGGCTCCTTCCGTATTGTCAGCACGCCTAACTGTGCCAGTTGCTCGCATGCTGACAAATGAATAAAATAATTATATAAACGCTACAAATTAGTTTCAATATCGATTATTGTCTATTATTCGAACTAAGCAGTCACTCCGTCAGTTTGAATAAAGTTTTTTTTATACTAATCTTCTAAACAGTTATTCGGCGCAGCCGGTAGGATCTTCGAGAAATTGACTTCAGTGGAGTGAATAGCATTCTCCATAAAAAAAGTGATAGTGACGACGAGCCGGCGGACCTTGACTATATAGTGAGCTACAAAATAAGTGAGGGAACTTTAGTGCTTTATATTTTTCTAATTATGGTAGTATTAGGTTTTGTCTGTATCAAATTCTATAATAATATTCCACCCTTACGGAACTCTCTGAAGGTTTCATCGTCAACCTCAGATAATTCCTCACGTGGGGGTGATGAGTTAAGGTTAATGAACGTGGCTCCTTCCGTTTTGTCAGCACGCCTAACTGTGCCAGTTGCTCGCATGCTGGCAAATGAATAAAATAATATAATAAACTCTGTAGTTATAAGATCTATTATTGTCTATTATTAGAACTAAGCAGTCACTTTGTCAGTTCGAATAAAGTTTTCTTAAATTAATCTTCTTGCCAGTCACTTATTTAAGCGCGTAATAACGTTCGATCATGTTATAACATATGCATGCGTCCTCACAGTCCATGATTTTATGGATTTTGCCCGCACGGCCGGAGACAGCCAACGCCCAGCTATTTCATAATAATAATGAACATAGTAGATACTCGGTCTGTTCAGTACCAACGTATATTTACTAAGCAATATTTTACCTAATTATCCACCTCTCATTGTTTGGTTTCCTGTATAACAGTGCATGCAGTTGATTGAGCTGTATGCGATTAAATATTTATCGTTTTTCGTCCATTGGCACGTGTACCTATATTGTTTACATTTTAATAACAAAGTTTTTAGTTTCTTGTTTTGTGTTACTTATGGAGATTTACAATTAGCATTGTCACCTGTTACTTATCATATTTATTGATACAATTTCCAAATAATAAATTAATAAAAACACGAACTATGGGAAGACGCTTTTAACTAAATGTGCCTTTATACGCATTCATTGCCAAACATTTACGCAAGCGTTATTCTGCCCCATATTCGTTAGATTGGTCCACAGCCGCCTTATTATCTACCAAACCACAGCGGAAGAGGTCTGTGTTTTATAGTATTCCATCATTTTATCCAAATACTTTCTACTTCCCTGTGGCTCCATTATCTAGAAAAAAGTGGTATTACATTCGACCCATAACGCATTTTGTGTACAACGGGTAATATCAAGGTTTTTCACAAGACTTAAGTAACGCTGTGGTTCAGCAGCAATAGATAAAGATTGTGAAGTGTTTACCTGAATAGCATAATCAACATTTACATAAATTAACAACATTACATGCATAATAATAGAAGAGGATCCTAAGAACTAGTGTCGATCAATTTTGCAATTAAAAAATTTTAACATGCTTATAACTTACGTTGTTACTATAAAGAAGACAATTATTATATTGAGACTTGCCAAATTGGGTGTAGAAGAAAAATAAAACATGCTCAAAAATTCGACATTACTATCACTATAGCGCCAATTTTATTCTTAAACTAGATTTATTCTTACTGTTCATCTATTCTTAGCATCATCGTTAGTTGATTTATCTTCTATATTTTCTTCTCTTTCTTTCTTCGATTTGTGTACTGGCACATCCTCTGTAGGCATGGGAGTAATAGGTACTAAGCTGCCATCTTCATCAGCTACCTTTAAGCCTATAGTAGCTCCTAACTTAGCACTTGCCTGCTTAAACGTATCAGATAATTTCTCTTGAACAACATTAATACACATAGAAGTCAATGCCAAACCGAAAACTAGGTACAAAATCGAACACATCATGAAAATTGGGTGATCTGGTACTAGATCTCCGAGACCTATTGTAGACATTGAAATGAAGACAAAGTAGAAAGACTCGAAAAAGGTCCATTGTTCCCAAAAATTGTACACTACAGCACCTATGATAATATACAAAACAAGAATAACTATTGCAACAGATATGGGAAGATTGAATTCGTCATCTATTTCAAAGGTTGGTGCGGGAGATTCTGGTTCAGTCTCGTTGTCAATATCCCTCACTATTAAAGTACCAGGCTTTGGTGGTAACGGTGGTGGAGCGTCACTAGGTTTCCTTCCTAGTTGTGGTGGTGCATCTCCAGCATTTTCCATGTCTTCTTCATTGAAGATTTGTGACGGTCTCCGAACAACGTCGTAAACTATGTTGAGACCCTTCATTACCTCCTGAAAAAATAAAATAAAACCTTGGTATTTACACTAATTTTACACCAGTATAATAAAGAGGTCAAGTTTGTATGTAAAGACCAATTCACAGTAAGGATCGAGGTGCACGAAAGGGGCCTCGCCTCGCCTCGCCTACGCCAGTTTGCAAATCCTACATCCTTCATCACGATGGCAAATATATCCCATGCATAGTTCAGCATGGCGGCTACTTGTGGCTTAACCAGAGTGGCTAAATTCTGGGCCGCGATAATAAAAAGAAGAGTAAGGATCAGTAAGGTACAATTTTACGCTAAAACATTTATAAATAATGTATTTGGTGTAAAGGAATTTAATTTATTTAGATTTCTGTGTTGGAGTATCTTCATGCCCATACATCGATCTACAATAGCACTACTTACTAAACTTATGTTTGACCAAAGACGAGGAGTTCGTATCAATATCTTTCTTGGTGGATTTTAAATCGTTGGAAACTTGAATCAATGTGAACTTGAACCACTTTATCGATTTATTTATGCCAGGACAAATGCGTAAATGCATGTAACCGAGTGCTATTCTGTAAAGCAGCAAATAATCCTCAAATATAACAAAGGATTCTTGAAAATATACGACAACATACGCCCCGAGGCGCAACCATTATTCATTTCTGTAAGATAAAAAGGAATATCTCCATTGTTTCCTTTACAGAGCGGTAGTTAATTTGAAACATAATTTTGTGGAACACGGTAACCAAACATTGCTACAAATTATTTTTCGTTTTACCTGGTATTATTACATAAAATCGATTCTAAGGTTATATGAATATTTAAATTGAAGAAAAATTTACCACGTTACGTAATTTCTTATTAGACAACATCACATACATTGCTCTGATTCCAAAGTAAGAAACTAAAGCACTTGTGTTATGGAAATCGGACACAATGACGGTACCACAAACACCCAGACCCGAAACAATACAGAAAAGTTAGTTTTGTACACTGCCTCGGCCGAGGATTGAACCCGGGATCTTAGAGATGGCGACACCATGAAAACCGATGTGCAACCCACTCGACCACAGAGTTCGGCAGAGCGTCTTATTATGGAAAACTTTGCGTTACATTACAATAGTTTGCAAATATTAAATTCATGTATTTAATTATAAATTATTGTAATTGACAAAAATTTACAGTAATAAGTAAACCAAAGTATGAATTAAATAATGCGTGTTACTTAAAGTGCAAATTTTAACTTGTCCAATAAAAAGTTAAAGGGCTCTAACCAAATTCCTTAATTTTATACAAAGTTCAAAAATATCGTACCTGAACAGGAACAGTTCTTCTAACTTTTCTGCAACTTCTTGTATAGTAGAACCTTCTGATAAATGCCCAGAAGAATTTGATGATCCTTGTGAATAGCTTACCGAAGTCAGCTAACACTATTAAGAACAAGGGTATGCCTACGATCGCGTAGATTATGGTCGCCACCCTTCCAGACGTCGTTTTAGGAGCAATATGCCCATATCCTGAAAACAAAACATCTGAATATGAAGTAACATTTAGAGACAACACTGGAAACCGAATTATTTTAAGGGAACCAGAGGTTTAGATAGGAAGAGTGAATTCACAATTAAAACCATTCAACGAATTCAATAAATATTTTTGTTCACAAAATAATTAAACAATGTGTCTTACCAATAGTAGTAATTAATGTCATGCAATAGACGAACGAATTCATGAAATTCCATGAACGCTGCCCACTGTACGAAGTCACACCGGCTTCATGCGCTGTGTGCAATTGATCTTCAAATTCATACAATTTTTTCCGGGCCATAGATTTCCAGTCCTCTTCCCGCAAATAATGGGTTCCTCGCCATAAACTCTCGATAAAATCTCGCTTTACATTCCTTGTACTGCATTTGTAAGCATTTTCGAAGGACCCTTCTAGCGATTTAAACAATATTCCGCCTAAGCCGAAAATTATTATCAGCAGCAACAGGTCACAAACACATCTGTTCCGTAAAGATATTAGACGATCATAATCCGTTTTACGTTCTTGCTTAAATTGTTGCCAGTTTGCTATACATTTCCACCGCGATTTTGCTGACTTATTTTTATCATCACTTTTTTTAGATTTCTTATCTTCGATAGATTTTCGTCTGTCTTTTACAGTTAAAATTTCTTTACCACTTTCGTTATCAGGTACTTTTCGTTTACGCAAAACAGAAGATTTTTCATTTTCTGGCTTACATATATAGTCTTTTGGGACATTTCCATTCGTAACGTTATCGTTATCTCGTTTCTGAGATTCCTGGCTTAATACTTTTAACTTTCGTGTCAATTCTGCAGTTCGTTCGGATAAATCGAAATCATATTCATTTTCACTAGGTGATGATGAATAACAGCTAGACGTATATTCAGATTGACTTGCATCCAGGTAACCCGAACTACGTCTTCTGTGTTTATCACGTTCCACTTTTTTAGCCACTGGTACAACAACATTTGTTGGCGCAATTCCGGATAAAATTTCTTTATCGCTTATAATTTGAATAGTTTTTGAACACGATATGCCTCTGCTAGTTCTGGATCCAGAAGGAGTCCTGTTCGGTGTCTGCAATTTTTTACTATAATTCCTGTATTCAGGTGGAAGTCTTGGATCATCTTTTGGTATGGATAGACTTCTGGCTCTAGCTTGCATTAATTCAATAATTTCCCGACCTGTTGGACTGATTGCGGTACCACTTTTATCTATTACCTTTATTTCCTCTACTCTGGCGACAGATTGGGATCGATTCGCTCTTGGAGATCTATTTTTCAAAAACCTCCTTGGTGTAGGCACAACCTTCCGTTTTGGCCCTGCAGCTATATTTTGGTCCTCACTCATCTCACTCTCACTAGTTTTATTCTGCAAATGTTATTAGGGGTATTAGTTTCTCTTCTTACACTACGAGGGTTATTCAAACTATATACATTGTTAGATAGTTATCTATCTAACCAGATCTGTTCATTGAGCCAATTGGAAATATATCGCTATGAACAAAGCAACAAACAGAATCAAAATTAATTTTACATAAAAACTGACCCCAAATCTTGTTGCAGATTTGCTCCTTGCAGGTTTAATTGGTGGTACCTTACTTTGTGGCTCTTCTTTCGTCGATGGCTTGGGTTGTTGCTTTACAATAGTTGGTTTAACATCCGCTGGCATTTTTTTACTCGGTGTTCTAACAATTCTTTCTCTGATTTCCACAACTGGTTTATTTTCTTGTAACAACTTCTTACTAGGTGTTCTTTCTACTTGTATAACCTTAGTGACTAGTTCACTGGGTGCAGACGCTACAGTTTCCGGAGCTTTAGATGGTTTTGCTGGAGTGTCACTTATCTTAGACGCACTAGTTTTAACAGAAATGTCAGATAATGACGCGGTTTTTGGCGCAAGCTTCGTTTCTTTATCATCAAAAGTAAACACGTTTGCCTTAGTAACTGGAGTCTTTGATTTCTCTTTAACTTCATCAGGATAAACCATTTCTTCCAACTTTTTGGGCGTAGTAGGTATTGGAAATGGCATATTCTTTTCTATCGGGGAAGCGCTCGTTGGTGTGGGAGGTGTCAGTGAACTCCTTCGGTCTTTAGGAGATTCGATAGTCAACGAATTACGGCGACCCGTGTCTTCTTCTTTCGGATTCAATGAATAGTTTGAACTCAATAACTTATTATTAGGATCAGTAAAACTAAATTTACGCTCTAACTGACATAGCTCCTCCCTTTCTTTATCCGGCAAAGCAAAGGGTGACACGCTTCTACGTCTCCTTTCATGAGCTGCCAATGTCCTTTGCTCCATTATTTCATCGGTGTCTATATCATAAACTGGATCCTTTGCACCAGCTTGTTCTTGCACTAAGCGTTTCATTTCTTCATATGTGCTATCTGCTTCTATCTCTCTAGAATTACGTAGAGGAAAGTTGTCTTCATCATCAGAGGTAGTTGTATCTTCGTGGATTGGAGTGCGACCTGGTTCGGGAGTTTTTTCTCTTTGTCTAGTTGCTTGACCCCTGTTCTTGGACAGGTTTCTTCTTTTTCTAAGGGACTGCTTCTGCGCTTCGGGCTCCATGATCTTTGGATTCTGGACTTGTTCAGGGGATCTTGACACTAAGTGACCTAGAGTTTGGGTTTCGGATTCGGCTCTTATGATGGGGATAGGGAGGGGAAGGGTTATTTTCTTTCCTTCATGCCCTCCTTCGGTCATAACCTCTTTTTGACTTCAGCTGAAAACAAAAAAAGACACCGCGTTAATAAAACGCTCAACAATCAATTGACAATAACAAAAGCAACAAATTGCCCATTAACGTTGAGGTGTAATATGTTTTGGCAACGCCAAATCGAAGCACTGCCAATAAATTAAATACATAACAAGCTTAAGACAATCCAACAATAATAGTGTTACAGGGAGTGGACTTACCGCCGTGAAAATTGCGTCCAATAAGAAACTTATAACATCGGGGTCAAAGCAGATATCTAATAAAAGAATCTATTTTAGACGCCTGAACGTTGCGGACGTAAACAAACATTGGTATAAAGAGAGGATACGATCCATCTCTGTCGCGTTACTGTCACAAGGGAACACTTTCTGTAGATATTGATTTTCAATAGACTTTTTTCATATGAAACTGCAGCGAATTTTAGAAATAGACACTCTTCAAACGGTGCGCGTTAAGACTAAACGTTTGGGGAACAAGTCCGCCGGGCAAAGTTCCAAATTTAAAACAACTACACCTACATTCAGGACGGTCAGTGTGTGTAGCACCGAAAATATAATCGAGAATTCGCGACCAACACAATTTGATGCGCCACGGCTTAATATTAACAATACATTTTCTAAACAATAGAAATGTAAATAGAGGTCTCATTAGATTAGATCCCGCCACTGAACAGTTGTGTGAATGCGTAATGAACATTAATCGAAAGTAAAGCGTTTGAAGGGTTAGAAGGAATGTTTAATAGGATAATAACTTTTTATGAGGCTATTCCGCACACCCTAGCCATTTCACTCAGATTACAAGAACAATGTGGTCATAATTAAAAAAAAACTTATGAAGTTAACAATAACAAGAACTTTTAGATCATACTATAAACTCCAAATAAAATTAATCGAAATCCATTAGAGGTATCTATTGTTATCACTGTTATAAAAAGTTACGTAGTAGTAGAGCTCCTTGTGAAAGAATTCGTCCAGGGAAGTAGTGCCACCTTACTTATTTCTACCGCCAAGCAAAACTGAAAGCATTATTGTGTTCCGGTTTTGAAAGGTAAGGATACTGGTGAAATTACAGGCACATGGGACTTGTCAACTTATGTCTCAGGGTGACGGGCGCAATGGCAGTGCACCTCATAGCAACTGCTATGGACAATCGTGTACCTCACTTGGTATCATCCAAAACTTCATCAAAAATTCTATAAAAGTTTCTATGTAGAAAGGTACAACGTACTTATTCCACAGGTGGACCGTACCAACTCCGTACGCGATGATATTATTTTGTGTATGTAAATATCTAAATTACTTGGAGTGTGCATAAATCGTTTTTATCAACTTATATCTAGTTAGACATAAATACGTACCTACGTCAAAGCACGCCTTGTTCACAAAACAACGTACTAATTGAAACATTAAATACAAGTAGTATTGTATATAGTACAGACACGTGAGTTTCATAACTTAGTAAAGAATATAATTATATTCTATAAGTATCTGATTTCCTTTGTAAATTTGCATCGTGGCAAAACAATTGTCGTCTCTTTTAGTGCCTTTACGAAGAAAATAAATAAAAATTTTTTCATATATACCTTTGAGCGCGTTAACGTGTGCAACGAGGGAAAAACAAAGAAATACCAGTTGAGATTTCCATACAGAAAATGTTTTTATGCGCAGAAAGGGAAGAAATGCCTGCATATATTATTATAGCAATATTTTGAAACGTATATGGGAGGTAAAATGGCTTTTGAATAATTATCAGGCGTTGTTGTTCTGTTACGAATTTCTTTTACAGAGGATTGGATGTTTCAATCGAAGTCCAAGACATTGATTAGCTTAGAAGTGCAACGCTCTTTCTTTACATTACATCCTAGCAGTTAGACGTATTTAAAATGCAGGCAGTAAAAACTGAAAAAGATCTAAAATTGCATCGATTCAATTACCACTCTAACTTCAATTACAATAAACACAGAACTGACGTACCCTTTTCATTATTCATGTGAAATTTTATATAAGTAATATGGTTTGCACTATGGGCGCTGGACGTGGAGGTCCCGGGTTCGATCCCCGACAAGACCAATTTGGAAAGGAACTTTTCTAACTTGGTGATCTGAATGTTCTGGGTAGTTTCCTGGATTGAATTGAATTGGAAGGAACTTTTCTAACTTGGTGATCTGAATGTTCTGGGTAGTTTCCTGGATTGAATTCCGTTGGATATAGTACAGGAATTCCCTAGTTTGAGATCAGGCAATTGATGTGGCTGTAAAAACAAAGTTTAAACAATATAACCATATCATCATCATCATCATCATCAGCCGAAAGATGTCCACTACTGAACATAGGCCTCCCCCAAAGATCGCCAAAACGGCCGGCCTTGTGCTACTTGCATCCAGCAGATTTCCGAAACCTTCACCTTCACTTGAAGGTTTTTTTTAATTTATTTTTTTAATATCTTCAAGTGAAGTCGTGCGCCTGATGGTAAGCTACATGCCTATCCATAACAGTTACAGTGCCACTCAGAGCCTTAAATTGCAAAGATCTGAGGGGTACTACCACCGCGCCCGACACACTGACATATAAATTGACAAGTCCCATGCGCTTGTAACTTCACCAGAAGCCTTACGCTTCAAAACCGGAACACAGTAATGCTGACATTACTGCTTGGCGGCAGAAATTAGTAATGTGGCAGTGCTAACCTGGACGAACTCTTTCACAAGAAGCTCTACTGCACTAGATCTATCGAGACTGCGTCTTTTGATACGCGATCGAGAACTCTTTGCCCCCTTCGACTATCTACCGGTTCGGTGCGCAATGTGTGTATGTATAACAAGTAAATGTATAACAGAATAGATATACAGGGTTATTTGGAAAATACTAACAACAGGGTTTTATTACTAACATGAACAACAAATTTTGTATAATCTAAAAAAATATAGTATAATCTGATGATTATACTTTCATCAGATTATACTTTCATACAAAACTAAATATAATTAAATAGATTAAATAGATCGCTCTAAACTATGATAACTCTGTGCAAAACGCAGGAGCGCGGCGCGGGTGGGGGCGTCGGGGAGAACTTAGCTTAGTTCATGTAACCGGGACACCTTTTCATACTTCAGTTCACACCGCGAACTAAGCTAATCGAGCTATCTAAACAAACCCAACGTTCCTGCTAGCTATGTAAAATTTTTGCCACACTTCACCTGCGCACGTATCCATAGTCCCTACTTACTTGGTTATCTTAGCTTGGCTTTGCATGCAACTACGCGAGCTACGGTAAGTTAGCTAGCTTCGTCCGCGGTGGGCCCTGCGCTTCACTACCAGATACAGATCTAAAAAGTGTCACATAATAAAAACTTGAAAATTTATTTTTTGAAAATTTGTTGTTTTGTAAAAAGTTCGTAAAGTCACGCGAGGTTGTATAACTACATATCTATGTATCATAACATGACCGTAGCCGTCGATTATAAGTTCTGTCGTTCACAGAGATCATAGCTTGCAGTACTAATTAATGACTTGTAGAATGGTCGATTTTATGCAAACGACTACATAAATTCCTCTCTACCTCTATGCATTTTCATGAGAAACTTTCAGGAGATTTTGGTCGTCGACAGTAAGTGGGATTGTGTTTCAACTCGAAAGGTGATTATTTTCATTGCTAATTACATTTTAAAAATGGTAGCTGTAAAGATACCTGGATAAGTGGAGAAAATTTGCATAAATTGGCGCCAAGGAAAAAAACTTACGCTACACACTTCACAGGCAGGTTCGAGTCCACCCAGATCGAAGGTTTTTTTTTATAACATCAAGTGACGGGACGAACAGGTAGTGCGGTCGTGGTGGTGGACACTCGTCAATCGAGTTATATACTCGATTGACGGGTATCGTCAATTGTTTCACTTCAAATCGACCAGTTTAACTTAAGCTATAATTAACGAAAATTGAAAGCTTTGTAATTAGATGTTTTGCTGTTTTTCCCACGCCACCGAATGGAACAACCTCAAGTAGTTAAAGATATTATCTTTATTACAATAAATACAGAATATTTTTGTAATACACGGAAACGTACACACAGGCCAGTTGTTGGCGCTGCACTATTTCAGTTTTCTAATTTGAGATTTTAGTGCAAACGAGAGTTGATATTTAAAAGTGATATGAGGCCCATTTGCCTGGTGAGTTGCCAGGGATGGATGACCCTTATTTCTTTTCTATTTCTGGTTATATACTCGATGGCTACACGCCTGTCCATAATATTCAATGAACTTAATATACAACACACAACATTGTAAAACTTTACGTGTTCGATGTCAACATTGAACAATCTGAATACTAAGGGCGCGTTCAAATTAGCCGCTGTTAGAAGCGCTGCAGCGGCGGCCGCGCTGCAACCGAGAGAACCGAGTGAATTTGGACTCACTAGAGATAAAAATGTAGGTCATATAAATATTTATCTCGACCCGGGAATCGAATCCGGCACTTCGGCGTGGAAGTTCGGCATGGTAACCGTTCGGCCACCGAGACAGTTAAGTTAATTTGTATACCTATTTTTAACCAACTTAAAAAAAGGAGGAGGGTTTCAATTCGACTGTATGTTTTTTTTGTATGTTACGCGATAACTCTAATTGATAACCGAAAAAATTTGTTAAATTAAAAATTTTTAAACAAAAATTGAAAAAAAAAAATTAAAAATTTGATAACCGATTTTGATGATTCCTTTTTAGTCGGAAAGAGAGTACCCCAGAAGTAGTCCCATTTAAATTTGAAGAAAATGTTCCACCTCTAAGGGTGACAAGCTAGGGGATAAATAACTTTTAAGGTCGGTTCTTTAGTACTCTGTACTGAGATTATTGATTCTCGCCTCTCCCAAGGCTCAAAAGATTTTGAATTTTTAAATGGGAGAGGTGGTATTCCCCGGCAATGGCATAGTCGACCGCGGTCAGGGACTCAGGTTCAAGAACAATACGTGCCGTATCGAGCAGGTCCGCCTTCTCAGAAATCTCAGAATCTTAGAAAATCAATCGCCTCAAGCTGCTAGCAAAGCTGACTGGAATTAACCCATTTGCGGTCAAAACTATTATTATTATTATGTTTATTTTAATCTCTCGCCTCTCCCATGGCCTAAAAGACTAATTTTGAATTTTTAAATGGAAGAGGCGGTATTTCCCGGCTATGGCACAGTCGGCCGGGGTCAGGGACTCAGGTCCAAGAATCGGCGAACAATACGTGCCGTATCGAGCAGGACCGCCTTCTGCATTTGTGCTGGGAGCGACACGCCACAGAAATCCAACCGCCTCAAGCTGTTAGAAAGGCTGACTGGAATTAACCCATTTGCGGACAAAACAATTGGGATTATTTCAGTGGAGGCCACATCCCACATGTATTATTATTATTATTATTATTATTATCCCACATGTATTATTATTATTATTATTATTATTACTATTATATTAAGTGAAACGGGAAGTGATTAACAAATGTTTTGCTCCTTTTTTTAATGTAGGATGTCAGGTAATCTTCTTTAGCACGTACGAACGTATTGATGGAAAAAAATATTTAAATGTTCTAAGAATTTTATGTTCTACGTTCTAACGTAAATGATCAGATTGTACAATGGAGTGTACAAAGATATGCATGGCTTGTAGGCACTTACACTGTTAAATACAAATACAACGTTTCCAAAATATTTTTTAAATAACCTGGTACTAAGGGTTTTATTTTACGATATCATCTTATCTTAAATTAAATAGTAAGTATCTCTCAAATTGATATTTTGAATAAAAACCTTTAGTTTGATCAGATAATGAAGTTTTTCTTTATTATTTATGGTATTATTATGAATAGGTACAGATAATCTGGGAAAAGCGTACTTACTGGTTGCAGTTTAAGCTTTTTCAAGATAATACCGGTAGTACCGGTACTAAGTTGAGCCCAGCATCGGGAATCAAAATTTTAGGAACCGGGCCGGTTCTATAGGGCTCATTCAGAATGCAAGCACAGGTGGCCCGGATCTTGGAGTCTTGTCTTTCACAGTGCCGAAGCGGCTACGAGCGGGTAGATCCACACGCCGAAATGCAATCAGACGCTAGACGCTACACCAAGTACACTGTGAAAGGTACGGTCAGACCGAGTCAATAGATCTACCCGCGCGGCGCGAGCGGCCACTGTGAACATAACTAGTGTCTACGTGCATTTGATTTACACGCACTCGCGCCCGCCGCCACTCTACCGCCAACATTTCAATCAAACCCTCCACTACCACCGCTTTGAACCGCTTTGTAAAACAGTTATAATGTAAAAATGCTGAAGGTTACCTATAGTAGTATAAATGGTGCCAGCATAGAACATCGCGTTCATGAATCCCCATGTTTTCTTCTTGTCCATGCTGTCGAAGCAGGCCACCTTGGTACATTCTATATAGGTTCCTTCGTAATCTCGCATGATGGCTTCAATGCTCTCGATTACTGTAGCTTCATTCTGTAATGTTAAAAATAATTTTATTTATAATTTAATAACATTGCGTATTACGGGCGGTAAATAAGAAATTACTAACGAGAGGTCGTTATAATTGATATAATCTTGAGTCATGAGGCTTTCATAACTCAAGATGTGTATTTTTACCGCCCGTTCTACATACAATGTTCTTCATGGCATTTGCGAGGAAATAGATACAATGATAATTTATTTCTTGTATGAATAAATATCGCTTCACATCACAATACTTAAGGATTTTGCAAATAGCGGGCTTTTTTTAAATAGACTCCCAGTTATTCTGGCATAGATAATACAACTCGAAGTAATATGATTATCACTAATATCAGGTTTCCTACCACGGTATGACTTCTTTTTATTTTCCCAATATTTCCGAACGGTTGCACGCTCCATGGTTACGGGTTGACTGAATAATAAGTTTGGAATTATACCAAATTCGCCGGTTACTCCCACGATTTTGGGCAGAAATGCCCAAACCCAAATTCAAAGCACTCTACCGGCAACACCTACTCTCACTTCAAAAATCTGTGTAGTGTGATTTTATTCTTTAACGTAGTCTGTCTAGAATCGAATTTTGTTGTTGCTTTGATCTATTCTCATTATGTGTATAATTATATTATAATACTAATTACATTACACAACATTAAATCCTCTTTACAGTCATAACTTACACCTACAGCTGTAATTATATTCACATTTGCAAATGCACTTATATATCAAACAGGTTATTTTAGATGCACTATTTACACTTTACCATGTATATTATTATTGTCAATGTATAATTTTACTCATAGTCGTTATATTTTTGCTTTCTAATAACTTAATCCCTCTCGTTGGTTCTGACTGAAAACCAGCGCCTTAGGAAACTTTGGCATATGCTGAGTCAGCGCCGTTTCACTGCTATGACAATCATGTTTTGTTTTTTCTTTTATGCTTAATCTGTATTTGTGTTGTATCAGTGAATAAAGTGTTTATCTATCTATCTATCTAAATGGGTTAAAACCCGGGCGAGTTAATTGCGTGTTAACCCTCTGGTCGGGATCAAGAACGCGAAACTTAGCGCCGATACGTAATCAAATATATATTCTATATCGAATAAAAGTTTTTATCAATGAACTAGGTATTTGTCATTATCCCCAAGTGCGGTTCACAATAGAGCTGGGACATAGATGTATCGATTTAAAAAAATGAGTTGCTAAAACGTTGATGTTTTTGGTAACTCATTTCTTTTATTTGAAATTTTACACAGATACTCTAAACGAAGTACACATTTGAGTCATTTAATATGACTACACCTTCCTGTTACATACATGTTAGATCACAGAGTTATTTAAAACAATGTTGGTCAAAAATAAACTCTGTAAGCGTCTATTTTGAAGTCGCACTAAAAAATCTTATTTGAAAAGAGCAATTAGTTTTTTAGATGGTGGCGTAAGATACTGAGAGTCATATATTATTATTTCACATACCTTTCTTATGGTTTCTTCTTGCCAAACACTTTCAATTTTCATCGCAAACTCCCGTCTCACTTTAGTTATGTTCATTTCAAACTTTTCTTCATGTGCGCCTGTAAGAGAAATGGAATATTTGTGAGATGAATAAAAGTTTATCTCTCGTAGAAAAGAGTTTATACAGGATGCTAAAAAAGTAAGTCATGGAATATCAACCAAGTTTTGTGCCCTAGGCGTATTAACAAACAAATACAGGATTTCCTATATAAAAAAATAATGGTCTTAAAAAAGTGGCTTAAACACGGTTACCGACCCCCTTCACCACGCATACATCTTCTTCTTGGTAAGTCCAAATACGTTTTAACGTGCGTTTTTTGACAAACTTCCTGATTTCTTTGGTAACTGATTTTATGTCGTAGATACTGTGGTTTTTATAATAAATACCTTCCGTCTGATTTTATATTACTTATCGTGGTTAAAACGAATATACTGAAAGAAATTATCTGAGAAACCTATAACCGAAACGCGACAAAAAATTATAAAACATATTTAGTTTAGGTGATTGTATTATGTGTAGGAAAAAGACAAACAATTAGAGTATTGGATATGAGTTATAAAGGGAAAATAACTCACTATCACAGACAGAATTAAACTTTCAAATTTAAAACGACCTTTTTTTTAATACCCTGTATCAACATATATATTTTGTATGGGATGTGTATCGATACGACTAAACTTTATGTCTGTTCTATCCTACATCATGAAACTTTCTTTGAAAACGAATACTTTGGAAATAGTACATAAGAAATGTATAAAATAAATAAGTACATTAAGGAAATTCTTAATCTTTATATTGCACATACAGCGTACCATACAACATTAATGAACATTGTGCAAAAAATTAAATTGTAAATCCAATTGTAGAAATGAACATTTTTAGTTAGTCATATTAACCACTGGCCACATACCCTAGAACGTTTATTCGAAAACAAAAGACGATTAAAGTCATTATTTAAAAAAAATTAAAAGCTCCGGTGTATTAGGTAACAACATAATTTGACCTTTTTTAGCGTTTCTCTAATTAATGTCGATGAGTGTAATATACAGAGTTATTTATAAAAGGCATGTATTTAAATGACCTTTTTAAAGAAGGATGGCGACATCCCGTGTATTTTGTGACCCAGTATTTTTGACAACGTGCATTAAAATCACCTATCAATACTTGTGATTCATTGTCAAAACATCAAAAAAGCTAATTGAGTACAGCCTGTAGAAAGTGGGGTTATAAAGTTGATATAGGTTATGTTTATAACATTGTCCTATATTTGGCTTCAGAGCTTGTTTGTTCGTAGTAGCAGAAAACAACAAGATTTCAGTTTGTTCCCAAAAATAATAAAGAACTACCCGAATATTCCCAAATCTGCCAAACTCTGCCACATTTAATATAACTTATTATGTTCTGCAGCAATGAAAATGAATAAAAATTAAATCGGCCCAAATGGCAGAAATCTGCCACAAATGGTCACACTGTTCTCAATAAAAATGCAAACATGCGTTCGTGAAACGCGCGATTGCATCGCTAGACTTGTGATTTATAGGCGATTGCATCGATGCAAACGCGCGACTGCATCGATAGAAACGCGTGACTGCATCGATGCAATCCTTTATAGATCACAAGTGCAGCGACGCAGTCGCGCGTTTACATCGCTGCTTAAAGTCGCGCGTGTGTGTAAATCTGTGTACAAAAAGATATTATAATTCCATAGCTGTCACGTAATATAACTTAATAACATATTTCAAATTTCATATCATAAACCCCAAGCTTGACAAGTTGGCTAATGTGGTAAAGCTGCAATGTATAATTTACACAGACATTGCTCACTTCCTGAAATTATCCTTCATATTCCCGAGGATTTTGCATCTTCAAATAAGCCATTTAGTTAGTGTTATAATGCTGGTGAAATTACAAGTAGATGTGACTAATCAAGTGATGCGCAGTGGCAATGCCCCTCAGATCTTTGCGATTTAAAGCTCTGAGTGGCACTGCAACTTCAACTTTATGTAAGTAGCTCGATTACCAATTACTGATGAAAATATTTAGGTAATTGTTTTCCCAGAAGGAACAGAGGTCGCGTAAAGGTTTATGGGAATAGTGGTCGAAGGATACATTGAGTAGGAGAAAAATCGGAAATCTTTGAAAAAATGCTCCGCATCAAGCTGGACAGCGGCTGCCCGGCTAAAACAGGCGTGTCACTTATCACCAGGCGCACGAATTATTCCTCCTGTCTCTTGGTATCATAAAACAATAAATAACCACAATATGACAGCCTCGCTAGCAGCTTCAGACGGTTGGATTTCTTTGGCGTGTCACTTCCAGCATAAATGCAGAAGGCCGTCCTGAGCCGGTTCTTGAATCTGAGTTCGGTCGACAGTGCTGTTGCCGGGGAAAACAGCCTCTCCCATTTAAAAATTCAAAATTAATCTTTCAAGCCATGGGACAGGCGAGAGTCTAAAATAAATATCCAAAAATCTTTGAGAGATAAGTTTAAGGAAATCAACATTGTTAGACTTAGCGTCACAGTACATTTATGAAAATGTAATTTATGTTACGAGGAATAGTAATTTCTTTACGAAAAATAGTGACAGACATAACATTAATACGAGGAATAAAAATAAAGTAGCTGACCAAGAACAGCAGTAGTCTTCACAAAGTCACAAATTTATTTAAGGGGCAATGTATACGCTTCTACAACAAGATTCCGGTTGATATACAAAATTTGCCTTTCACGAGGCTTAAAATTATAGTGAAACAAAAGGTTATACTAAAGGTATACAACTTCTGCGTACTTGGACGACAAAAATCCGTGGTAGATAGCCGTTTAGTTCATGTGTCAAAACAAAAAATATATATATATTGTAAATGTTGAATGTGTACAAATGTTATTTACTAAGTGCAACCCCTAGAGTTTCTTACTCGTTCTTCTCAGGGGACCTGCCTTACGAATGAGCGGTAGAGTTTAACCATTGTGACGATTTCAAGTGTATGTATATAATGCTTACCTATGAAATAAAGATTATTTTGAATTTGAATGTAAGAAAGTAGTATTTGATTTTAAACAAATAAGTTAGTTTCATATCGTACATTTTTTTTAATTTTATTTTTTTACATTCCCAAAAATTTTACTTTTCGTATTAAGTCACTTTATTGGTATACAGAAAGACAAGTACAAAGCTTAGAAATTATGTAAGCTTTCATTCTCTCGTCGCTTTATTATTGAGAAAGACGTACAAAGTTTGTTTAAAAATTTATTTAAAGAAATTATGTACCTTTCCTGCTTTTACTCGGCAGTCACAATAGTAACTATGAACATTAGGTAAAAAAGAGAGTACCTACTACTAAGTAATACTTTTTATTGAATATCCCTGGAAGACAAATATACTTATTGCATTTGTTTAAAAGGGGCATTAGTCTGTCACAAAAAAGCGGTAGTTGTTATTTTAAAACATTTCACTTTTTACTTCTGTCCGCGTCCATGCAAAACGAAACGTAATAAATAAAAGTGACACTTATTTTCTACGGGTGCGCTTCACTTGTGTGAAAATTAAACAAACTAATTTTAAACAACATAACGCTCATATAATATAATTGTCAATAGACTAATACACTTCCTATAACTTAATTTCGTATAATTGTCATTTGTAATAATATTTTAATTTTATTTATAAGAAAATTTTACATAAAGCTCCTTTCATATAACAATTTTTATACTTATGTATATTGTCAATCTGGTAATTTTTACGACGTATTTACCTGCTTCTGCAATGTGCTGCTTTTATTTGTTTAGTATATAAAAAAACAGAACCGAATTTGTAAGCGTTTCCGAACATGTGTTTTAGGTCAAATTTATTTCAGTTCAATAATTTATTTATTTATATATAAATTGAGGTTTATAACTCATTATTGTTATAAAAATAAAATTTTAGAATATAAGTTTTTATATGAAGTGAAAAAATAATATTAAATTTATAACATAAAATATAATATTACATTGCATTAAGTGAGCGTTAGGTTAAGAATATTTATACACACCCGATTTTCTACAAAAACAATAAACCGCGAATACGTCATCTTTGTGGCCAGTATCATTTTCTATTGAAAACACTCGAAAAAGATATACTTTCCAGCTGCTTCTCGTATCAAATCTTTGAATGAATACCTACAGTATGTTAATAATATTTGACTAACACAAACGTACGAAAAGAAACAGTTGTGAAAAATAGATATAATAATTCATATTTGTTTACGACTGTCAGCTCTACAGATTTAACATTACGGATGTAGACAGAGACGTCATGCAAATTTTGTGATGGTCAGTTGTTTGTGAGTTTTTGTTTATGACACGAAGTGGCGAAACGAACAAGTCGTGCGCCTGATGGTAAATGTCACTCGTAGCTTTAAATCTGTGCCTGTCATTTCACCAGCCTCAAAACCGGAGCGCAGTAATGCTCACATTACTGCTTGGTGGCATTACTTCCCTGAACGAACTCTCTCACAAGGAGCTTTAGTGTAATAAGAAAGCAAGAATTGTTTTAACACTTAAAGCAAGTTTGTAAGTACTAGCTTTTAAGTAATAGTCAGGTGCCAGTCTTCTTTCATTGTTGTTTGAAAAATACGCGAGTGAATTTTAAAATGGGTTCTTTTCAATGTATTTTATTTGGGTCACACACAGATGTTTTACATATACAAAGTCAACTGAAGAAATGTAATCTTGTGACTAATAAAGTTAAAAAAAAAACAATGGAACGAACCGATGTCGCCAAAACTCACATTCTTAATTTGAAAAACAAATTAAGAACGTGTACAAAATTTTGATATTCATTGATCGTAGTTCCAAATTTAAAAAGAGGTAACAAATTCTGGGTTGTTAATATAATTTAAACTGTACCCTGTTGGCATATCGTTGAAAGTTCAACACCATCAATACCTATTATTACAAGTTACGACGTCTAGATATTACATTGAAATTTCAATCAATGTGCTGCTTAGAATCTAGTGATTCATTGCTGAACGATGACGAATTGGAGTTACTAATTTAGCTCTCCAAACAAGAAACGC